CTTCTGCAGGGGGGAGGGGGTAAAGAGGTAGCAAAAAACCGCCCCAGGCTGTGTTTTCCTCTGTTAGTCTTGCTGCTGTGGGGGACGGGCATACAGACAGCTTTCAGGGGGTCTCCTCCTTCCCTGCTGGGTAAGTACCATCTGCACGTAAAGAAAGTAACAGAGGAGAGCCATCAGCCACTTCTCCAGAAATTTTTTCCAGCAAGCATTCCCAGTGCCTGGCTGCCACTGGTGTTTCCAAGAAGCAGGGTGGCAAACAGAGCTCTTCTGTCTCCCTGCTGCCCACAGCTCTGAATAACGTCCATGAAACGTGGCAGGGCTGCTGCTCTTTGTGGTAATGATGCCTGTGCTAAGCTGGAGTGGCCCCAGGTGTAAAGGCCTCTGCTTCTGTCACCACCTGAGCCTAGGGTATGGAAACGAAGGACACACCTGAGCCAGGCATTCAGGGTGATGGATCCCTGCTGTGTGTCCCGTGATGGGGCTGGACAAGCCTTCTCATGAAATAACAACAGAGGCTAGCTATAAAGTTCTGGGCATGTCAGAGCAATGACACATGTAGCTCCGAAACAAAGGTATTTTGCTCTGTTAAGGTTTTCTGTACCTGCGTGCCAAACACCAGCCTTCACAGTTTACATCCATCCATAATTTTGGAGATTAAAAGCACCTGTGCCAAAGCAGTTATTCCATATTGCTAACATAGGTTTCTACTGACTGATGTTGGGAAGGTTTATTTTGTTAAGGGTTTGTTTGTTGTTATTGTGTTGCAGCAAAATCACCGAGAATGCAAAGAAATCCTTGGCCTCTCTTAAGAGAGAAAGCCCTCGGCTTGAGCCAACCCTTGCCATTATTCAGGTAATGTCTGTGTGCTTGCTGGCTGTGAGAGATCCCCTTGGGTACCGTTGCTTGTCTGAAACTTCAGAAGTGCGTGATGCAGAAAGTAACTTGTATTCAAGCAAAGTGGTAGGAGGAGGTAATTCCACCAGACTGTAGATTGCCCTTCTCCAGGCCTGAAACAGCCACAGCAAACTTCAGGCTGTGGGAAAGGTTTGCAAAGGAAGGGAACAATTTTATCCCTTCCTCCTTTTGCTAACGTAGACTTCCTCACTGTATGTACAGATTGCCTTTTCTTACAGGCTGTCCAGGTTGATTGACATAACTGAGTTAAAGCGCTTGATCTCAACCTTTATTTAGCTTGAACCTTTTATTGCTGTCCTTAAAAAAAGTGTTTATGTGCCTGAAAACATGAGCTTCCCTTCACCTCCCACCCGTGAAATAACGTTGCCAGACAGACCCTGCTGCTTCCTGCCAGCCTTGTTGCCTTTGGGCAGCTGTAGCTTATGACGGCATCACTGCTGTCCTAAGGAGAAGAAAACCACGCTGAAAAGTCCCAATCAGCTCAAAAGGGCTTGTGTGAAATAAATGCTCTGTGTAAAATGTCAATATCCTTTAGAAGTAGCAGCACTTTATAAAGTGAAGGAATCTTGTAGTAATTGAGAGTGGTTGTATTACTAATGATGTGAAGAGCTTTCCTTTCCGTGCCACTGGTGCTGCCATCTTTGAGATAGGCAATCAAACTCACAGATGAGGATTTCTATCCCTGCAAAGCTGAGAGATGTTCCTCTTTGGATTTCTTAAGGTTTCAAGGCCAAGAAACTGAGGATGTTGGTCATTCAGAGCAGGACCCAGAGCCATGCAGGCAAAAACGCTCCTGTCCTGTTTCCTAGGATGGTGGTGTTGTGTCGATTGAGTGCACACTGAATCTCTGACCCAGTAGGTTTTAATTTTAAAACCTAACTAGAAATGGTTTTGAGTATGAATAGTGAGTCTAAGAAATGCAGCACCAACTTTGTTTCAGCAGGTCTTCTAGTGAGGCTGACTGAACAAGCTCTCCCATCTCTTACCCTCCCTGGGTAATCACAATTAATGTTTTCAAATAGCTCTCTAAGGCTGTAAGTTTAAGGACTGCTAGAAAAGTCGTGACCTGTCTTCTCATTGACCTGTTGTTTCTCGCTTCTGTCTTGTCTCCATCCAGCTGCACTGTGAGCTGGACTGGCGGGGTCTGGGGATGTTTCCTTTCAGCCACATTAGTCCCCGAGTCTGGTTTTCTGCATGGCCAGATGAGTGTTTTGTGCTGGCACGAGCAAAGGAATATTGTTAGGATGGGAAAAAGCATTGTGTGAGGAGGGGGAGGTTCTTGCTCACTTTTAATATCAATTGGGATGCAGCTACATCAGTGTTTTGGATCATGGTTGTGCTTTAAATGAATGTCCCTCTTGTCCTCATTTACCCCATTTGGTTTGTATCATGAGGTGGCTGTAGGAATATGTGGCCTAGATCCTTCTGGATGAAATTCACCCAAACACTGTTCCCCAGCTGTCTGTCACCCCAACTGCAGTCTGTTTGTAAGGACTGGTGGACTTGCCAGTGCTAGGTTAATGGTTGGACTTGATCTTAAAGGTCTTTTCCAACCTAACAATTCTATGGTTCTATGACTGACGCAGAACTCATTTAAAATGTGTATTTGTTGGTACAAAGAAGATGTGTTTTAGTCTACAAATGCTCTTGTGGTGCACTGCTCTACCTGGTAACGTGGGCAGAACCTTAAGATTCACCTTGCTCTCCACGTGCTGCGTTGCACCCGGAGAAGCAGAGGGAGGGCAGTGAAACAGTCTCCTTCACCAGTCGCTTGTAGGTAACAGCAGTCAGCGTAACATGGCATCACCTCTGCGGCAGTACTGGGAATAAGGAGTTGTAGACTGGGCCCACTCTGGAACGGTTTTAGATGCTTTCTTTTTCTCTCGAACCATCTGAACCTGGATTGATACTGAGATCGATGCCTGCGTTTCTTGTTATCCATGTTGAACCTCAGTTGGAGCTGCGCAACAGCAAAAAGTGATTGGTGGCTGCTTCTTAATTTCATTGAAGCTGAAAGCTAATATATAGCGGCAGAATCCTGTTCAGCAGTGGAGCTGTTGCCTTGCAAAATTCAGAGAAGCACCGCCGGCTCCCCTGCCCCGCGGTCTGCCAGCCTGTCCTGAGCTCCGGCCTCGCCTGTGCTGCTCCCTGGGCTGCGATGGGAACGGGTTCAGGGCAGGGGCTTTCTGTGCCCGCATGAGGTGAGCGTTCGCCAGCCAGCACCACGGGAGAAAGGTCCTTACAGGGGACAGGGTGGTATCGCTGGTGGCTGAATCCCAGATGAGCCTCTCTCAGGGTCCTGGTGGTTACACATCAGTGTGGGGATGCAAGCCCATCTTTACTGGCGTAGGGGAGCAACTGCTCAGCTGTCCTTAGTCCCAGCTCTGCTTCCCTTGCCCCAGTGCGAGCTCCACACGTGTTCTCAGTGGAGCAGCCTCTGTCCTGCTCCTCTCCCGTAGCTGCCAGGTTTGGGGAGCAGGAGACCAGTGGTGCGGTCCCAGGGATGCAGGTGGTGCTGGGCAAGGCCTCATCCCCTCTCAGGACCTCCCTCTCTCTGCAGAGCCTGTCCTTTTAAATGCTTTTTTTTTCATTGTCAGCAGTCTTGAACTGTTGGGGATTAACAGGTTGGTAAATTGTTACGGGCTTGAATAGAAATCATTTTGGGTGACGCTAGTGACAGTGAAGCCAGCGCTGGCAGCTAACCGTGGAGCGAGCGGCTCAACTCTGACGGGAAGATACTGGCACTGAGGCTCGTGGAAAAAGCTATGTAGAATGTGTTCATGAAATTGTAATGCACCCTTTTAAAATTGTTTCTTTTGGTCCTGTTTGGGTTGGAAGACAGGTTTTATATATAATCACAGAGCTGTGAGAAGGGTTTTATTCATTTTGTTATGAAGCCACTAACATATTTGGGGGTGGAACCCTCACTGACCTGTTGGTAGGGGGTTTCTAGTTCTGAATACTGAATTCTCAGTTTTATTGTTACAATATGTGAACGTGTTTGAAGAGCCTCCTAAAATTCGAGAGTAACTTGAAGAGTAAAATTCAATTGTAATTATTACGATTAAATATCATAATATATACGGTGCACATAGGTGTAGAGACCTTAGGGAAGAGGATTTCTGGCTGAGATGGTCTCCCAGGTAAGTATGCCCAGGATAGGTTTCTGTCCTAGCGCAAGTGCCTGCTGGCATTTGGGAGGAACTGATAACTTCTCTTCCTTCTGTATTGACAGAACTCACTGTAATATATGATGGTAGTGATTTGCCTCATTTTTGGTGGTAAGGCAAACCAGTGGCATTAGGTGATATGGGGACACTGCAGGAAATGGTGGTACTGCTGTTGCCTATTTCGTCCTTGTTACATGGTTGTATGGAGAACAGTATCTTCACATACAGACTGGTACCTTTCTTAAATGGTAAACTTATGCTCTTGTCTATAAAAGCCAGGCTAATATCAACACTAATATCAATACTAATAAAGCCAAAATAAATTACTGGGTGGCCTTCTGCTTCTTTCTTAGAATTACTAGGCTTTTTGTTTGTTTGGATACTAGCAGACACAAACATCCTCGCTGTGTTTCTTCCATTGACCTGTGCATTAATGCATTCACATTTTTAAATGTAAATTTATTATTTTAAAACTTAGTTTCTGTTTTGTTCCCCAAGGCACATAATGATCATCTGATTCAAGAAATAAACAAGAACTTTGCCAAAGAGGTAAGCTTTAGCCAACACGTTTGTTGTTAATCATGAGCTACTTGCCCTTGATATTTATAAGTATTTTCTTTTGGCAGGTTGGTTTACATGTTATTCACGTCTGTCTCCCTGAAGGCAGCAGCAAGGATGAGGTAACTGCAGTACCTGGAGGACTCTTCCTTTTTCGCTTTCATTGTAAACTTGTATTTATCTCTGCCATTCATTATCACTTTGAACTGATCTCTATTAGCTCAAATTAGGGTTGGGACTGCCTTAGTTCAAGCAGCAAGTATTATCCGCCTATTTCCAAGCGTGGGAAAAAAGGGAATTAATGGGCTTGTCTGCTGTCCCCTGGCAAGCTGAGGCAGAATCAGCAGAGCAATGTTTTGTTTTCATGTCTGCTATTTAACTGCAGCATCCCCTCATACCAGCACGTGTATCCTATCTCCCACAGTCGCTCTTGTGATTGTACTTGGTTCTTGCCCAAGTTATTCAGGGAAATTAAAGATCAACTTATTTAGAGGGGGAGATGTTTGAGTTTATTTGCCTGTTTATTCATCTTGTAATGCTTAAAGTATGCATTAGAGGAATCATCCACCCCAAATCACTAGAGGGCTGAATTCTTACTTTGTCAAAGGCATTAGGTTGGAGGCGCACAGCACTAGTATCAACTAGGTTTTAAACACAGCAAGCTATACTAATATACATGGTTCTGAGGCATCTGAAAGTAACAAGGGCAAATACATTTGTAGTAAAAGATGCTGCTGTTCCCAGATGGCCTCCTCGTGCTTGGTGCATTTGGTAGTTGTGCAGGCTTGAGGGTTTTGTGTACTGTTTTGTATTTGGTACACTTTGTTTTTAAAATGTTACTGGCTTGCAGTGTAATCTCAAGAACAGCTTCCAGCTATATTGAGAGGGAGTCACTGTGAAGAATTTTAAGAGTCCAGTTTTGTGGATGATGAATAGTCAGCTACCCATTTAAGAAGGGTGGGCTTTTGAAATGAAGATCAAATACACTTTGCTGTTGGTAAATGTGTTTTATCTGCTGAGTAACACAGTGGGAAATAGGTAAAATATTGTGAGTATGCAGCAGTAGTTGCTGGTACTTTAAAGTATCTTAGGAAGTGACTGAGCTGTGTATGTGAAGAGAACAGCAGGACATTTTTGTTATTTGAAGAAAGTTACTTTCAGTGAAATTCGTAATAGTTTGCTTGCTCTCCTGTTTGCTCAGTATGATGAAATTTTTTTTCATCTCTTAAAATCCACTTACTAGCTTGCATTCCCCGGTTTGGGGAGGTGGGAAGGATTTCAATACCATGCACCTTTTGTTCTGCCATAACTGCCTGGATACAGTAAAGGCAAGTTAAAACACTTAAAACTCATGTAATCTTGTATTAAGTGCTGTGGTGGTGGAAAGCTGAATTCATGTAAAATGCAATTAAAATGGAAAACTGAATTATTTTCCCAGGAAGCATAGGAATGTAGTTCAAAGTTCATGAGATTCAGGCTATTTATGAGCTGTGTTTCCTTCAGTTGCTGTGCAGGCTCCACAACATTTTGTAGTATCTCAGGATTTTTTGAGCAAAATGTGGATGTTTTCACATCCATGTTCTGGTGAATACACTTATCCTTAGTTTCTATTAGAAAGTATAGCAGCTGTATAGCTGTCAAATGGCACGGGGTCTTAATATATAATATATATGCATGTATCCGTCTCAGAAGTCAGCGAACTAAATGGGCATTTCTGTAGCAGTGACGTGCTTGTCTAATCTTTGTTAGCTGAACTAAATGGGCATTTCTGTAGCAGTGACATGCTTGTCTAATCTTTGTTAACGTGAAAGTTGCACGTTCTTTTGGTTCAGAGTTGCAAATGATCTAACCCCTACCAAATTCCCCTAGCTTAATGTTGATTGCATATCAAGAGTTTGGGCAATAGAGTTCAGAATTATATTGGATAGTTTACATGAAAAGCATTTTAGCAAGGCATGGTATTAGCTAAGGAAAAAAAAAGTATACTCATTTTTGTCTTGGATAGGAATCCAATTAAATTGTTTTGTGGCGATTGCCCACTGATTTTATTTATATGATGAAAAAATATGTTCACATGACATTTCTCACATGTGGATAGGAATCCAATTAAATTGTTTTGTGGAGATTGCCCACTGATTTATATGATGAAAAAACATGTTCACATGACATTTCTCACATGAGAAAACTTCAGCCTGTTTTGTTCTGTTGTGTTCTTCATGGTCACAGCAGAGTAGCATGTATCCCTATGGATCAGTGTTGCACTTTAGAGATGAAGCAGTCAAGGGTGGGTACTACAGTCTCGGATGTTTAATGCGACCAATTATAAAATTTTTGAACTTGCATCTGGTTGCGTACTTGAAATTCATAACCTTCCATGCAGTGCCTTTTCAAAATAACAATTCTTCACAAGATGACTGTCAGCTCTTAGGTTCAGGGTGTTTTGAGAAGGAAAATGGGTAACAGTATATGCTGGTTTGATAAAATAAATTTTCTTTTGTATAATTGTTTTTTTCGAGTGTTACAACTTTTTGCCCATGTTCTGTGTTGGGATGTGATCTGGTCCTGTTTTGAACTATGTTTCAACCAAGGCTTCTTATTTCTAAAAGCATCTTCTGAAGCCGTCACAGTGTTGAGCTTTTGCTGAGGTTTGGAATAGTGAAAGATGAAATGCTCTTGGCAACGTAATGTCACGTAATATGTGTTGGCTTTGCAAAATGTTTAGAATAGAGTCAGGGTGGCTTAATTTGGTAAGCCAAGGAAATATAAAACAAGGAAAGCGGGTTATTGCTTTTTAATTTAGAAGGTGCAGTAATATATGAGGGAAGCAAAGGTGGCCATAAGGTAGTTTTAAAATGTAGGTTTTATCCCTTTCTAATTAGATTCTTCTTTTATCTGTTGTTCTGATCTTTAATGCTTTTTATTAACTTCCTAGATTGTCAATGAAATCTTGAGAATTAATGAGGATCCTAACGTGCAGGGCCTTGCCCTTGATCTCCCAGAAAGCTTATGTAGCAGCAAGGTATTAAACGCTGTGAAACCAGAGAAGGATGTGGATGGGTAAGTGAAGCACTGAGAAATAACTTTAGAAGACGTAAGGCTGATGGCTCTGCAAAATCAATTTTCCCACATGCTTTTCATTAATGGATTCCTCAGTCAATGTGTCTAGCTATGCTATTGAGCTGTGAGAAAAGATGCTGCTGAATCAATGAGAAGTCTTCTGCTGAAATAATTTTGATCATTATCTTTTTAATCCTTATTTACTGTATATTCAGGACACGGTCTTTTCAAAGAAATCAAAAACAAAGTTATGTTTTACTGATGTTACTTAAGGTTTTTCAGTACTTCAGTAATAAAAATGATAGTCACAAAGTACTGAACACAACCCCCAAGATTTCCACAATCAGAATTGATGGAAAAGTTGCAGAGAAGATTTTAACTTCCTTGCAGTACTCTCGCAGTGGGAGAGTAGGCAACAGTATTTTGGACCCGTTAACACAACTTTCCAATCAGCCTTGAGCTGCACTGCTCTCTGGAGAGCCCACTGGCATAATTTAGGTGTCTGGGTTACCATTTTGCTGCTCTTGCAGCCTTCTCGCTCTCAGCTGCAGATTGTCACCCTTTTTTTGTTTTTTCTTTTTTTCTTTTTTTCCTCTCTCCTTTATTTTTCATGTCAGGAAAAAAATCTCAAAATCTTGCAAATTAGTTACCTTTCCATTATCTAGGGTGCTGGAGGTTGACAGAGAATGGAAAATTCAGAGCACCCTGTGTATGAGAGAGAAAGCAGTGCAGCACGGAGACCCTGGAGCTCCCCCCGGGAAGCCAGCCGGAGCCCAGAAGGATGTATTGCCTCCGGCTCAGCTGGGCTCCACTGGGGTGTCCTAGCCCAAGGTGCTGTGGGTAGCCCACTGTGACCAGTAAAGAGCTGCCTGTTTGTCGTGGGCTCATGTTACTTGTTCGAACTCACAGGTTCCTTCCTGGCCTCTCTTGAGGCTCGGTGTTTGTCTAACTGGGATGTGGGATGATAGAAATTAGCCACAGTACATGGCTGTCAAAGGATTTACTTTTGTGAGAGGTATTTGCTTTTGGGACTAGCTGTTAGCCATGTTACAAGTTTTACCAAGAATTTATGTTACACAAACTCTTCTTTTTTTTTTAATTGCTGTATTTTTCCACTGCAGATTATCCGACGTAAACCTAGGACGCTTGGTACGTGGTGATGCCTGTGACTGTCTGGTTCCTCCTACAGTGTGTGCTGTGATGGAGCTTCTGGAAGATTTAGGTGAGACGTTCTCTCATAATTATTACATTAATTTTAGCCGAACTAATTTTCTCAGTTTTAGTCCTGACTGAGACTGTTGTGCTTCCTGGTTTTTGTTCTTTTCCCACCCAACATATATTTGTCTCCTGCTAGTGAGGATCCTCAGTGAGATCTGAACGTAGTATTTGCAGAGATGGGTCTCAGCCCTACAGATTTTGGAGATTAGCCAGGGATTAACTGCCATCAGCACATTTAATCTCACTGAAGCCACCCAAGACATCTGAATCTTCAAAACCAAAAATACAAACATCACTTAGGGATTTCACTTGGCAATGTTGATTAGTGTGAACAGTTGTAGAAATCCAGATCTGTCTGTAAATAACTGCTGAGCAAATCTTTTTGTTTGGGATGTATTGTTTAAATGCCAACGTTGAAATGGCAGATTTAAACAAGTGGTTTTACAGCGTGTGAATATGCTGTTAGCCTAGGGCAGCATTTCAGAACTAGTCTCTCTTACAGCGGTTCATAGTTATCGAGATAAGGATTTCTGTAACAGAACTGTAAACAGGAGGTCAAATGTACCTTGTAACAAATACGAACAAAAGGATTTGTGCAAATAAAATACCAGAAAGGCAGAAGAGCAGCATTTGCTTACTCGAATTGGAGAGTCACCAGGAAACAATTTAAAACCTGTGGCTTGTGTTACGCGTGGGCTCCGAAAGCATTGCCTGCAGGGCCTGGGCTGCTGTGGTTGTGCAGGCACACGTGGGCTTGGGTGCTGGCTCTTCTGGGGGGCTTGGGCAGTGGGTGGCCTGGTAAAGGGGGTGTTCAGATAGGCAGCTGGGTGACTTTCCTTGTGTCACGCAGGTGGAAAGAGGGTGCTGCTGGTGGGAGCCGGCGGGGCAGTGGGTGCTGCTTTGCAGTGCCTGCTGCAGAGAGAAGGAGCAGCGGCTGTGAGCTGCCAGTGGGGAGCCCCTCAGCTGCAGACCGAGGTGAGTGTTCTTCTTGAGGAGATCACAATCGTCGTCTTTGAAGAGAACTGTAAAAGCATGCAGAGAAATTCAGGAGCCTTAATTTGAAGGTTTTAATTTATATGATCTTCCTGGTTGCTTTTTGTAGAGCTTTTTAGTAACAATTTAGGAGTTGGTACAACTTCCTGTCAAACTTCCCAGTTTGTTCCTTAATCCCAAATTTCATAGAATAATACAACTGGGAACGTGTTGTCCTTTGGGCAGAGAGGTTACTAATTCATCCCCGGCACAGAGCCAGGCGCTAGCTGTAGAAGAGGTGCCCGTTACTCCAGTGGCTGTGTCCACGTCGCCGTAGGGGCGAGGTGCGAGGGACAGCTCTGGCGGTATGTTTGGTAGCACATGCCACGAGGTGGCAGCCCATGCAAAATGATAACCACGGACCTCTGGGTTTTGAAGGCAAGGGCAGGAGGAGGAAATCAGTTTAAGCAGCTGTGGTAGTTAGAAAGTTCTTTGGCAAACGTGTGTTTTCACAGCTGTGGATGTTTTTGTCAGGCTCGTCCCAGCTCTGTGCTCTAAGTGACTGACAGCCCTTAGGAGACATGCCTCTCTCGGAGATGGGAGCACTGTGAACTTAATATTAGCCCTGTCTCGTTATTATTTCTCGTTGCTCGGAGCTGTGCTGGAGGAATGCTTTGGGCTGGATGGGGTGGGTCATGGGGTGGCCAGAGGTGTTTCCACTGATTCACAGCAAAAGACTCGGACCAGGCCAGGGCTGCTTGTGGAGTGCTGTTGGTATGCGGGAGAGATCTGTTTCCTTCTACCCAGATGCTTTCCCATAATCATGCTTTTCTTTTTGGCGTTCCCTGTAGCTTACCTCTCACAGCAGGTCGCTGATGGGAAACAGGATAGGAGGCCTGAGCAGGAGGCAGTTTGAGGCTTTGCACATCAGTTTTCCCGAGTTCATGTTAACTTCTGGCACTGAAGGAGTTTCTGCTTTGCCTGGAGGACTAATCATCAGGGCTCAGAGGAAACCCAGCTTCCTCGTCTGTAAGCCTGGAGTAGCATGTCACCAGTAACCCTCAGAGCACCGCTGAACCTGGCTGGATGTAACCCTGTTGTAGTTACCTCTAGCTCCTAGATAGAATCTAATGCATGTGGGAAAAGCTGTCCTGTTTCATGTTCCCAGACACCTGAGAGTCAGAAACTGAGCACAGACTTCCTACTGGACACTGGGGCACTGCTGTCTTGCAGCAACCTGTTTGAAGTACAGTGTTGTTGAGTAATATTATTTTAGTCGATTATACAAGTTTATTTTCTCTTGCTCTTTTGAAACACTGGTTAACTAAAAAAAGTTTAAAAGCTCACAAGGTTTTTTTCTCTTGAGTTTTTAAATTTGAATTTCAAGTAAGAAAATGTTAGGCAATGTCAAGGTTTTTCCAAAACTTGGAAGAATTAATTCATGTTTTGTTTTTACTGCACAATACACTGCCTTTAGAGACAGCTGTACGCTTCTTCGCCTTCCTCTGTCTGTGATACCTCTACAGTAACAGTCTGTGTGCTGTTGTTTGGAAGTAGAACCTACAGTAGCATAACTTCACTTATGAAGTAAGAGATGAACTTACAAAGAGTATGAACTTTTCATTGCATTTGTTTTGCAATATATACCAGGAAAGGAAAAACTGTGTTTAAGAGTAGGTGTACCCTGTTTGTCTTAATGCACTGGCCGGGCCCATTTGCACTGAAGCACTAACCCTGAACTTAATGTTGTAATGCCTTTCTTAAGCGGGCACCACAGTACCTTTGACTAGCTGTGCTGATTTGTTCTTCTTTTTAAAGATAGCATAACAACAAGTGCTTTCTTTAGGAATTCTATTAATTTAAATGAGACACACAATACTAAGGTTGTAGGTTTTTTTGGATCAGGTTTTGTACTGCTATGAACTTGTTATTGCTGCTTTTACTCATGCACTTTTGCAAAAATATTTTGAAAATGATCAAGAGAAAGGTATGTTTTAGTCCACCTTTGGAAAAGTCTAACGATGTAGAGCTAGCTCTGCTTACAAACAGGATAATACCATCTACCTTCTGACTTAGTGTGCTCCATTAAAGCAAGTCTTTTCTGTCCTACAGCACGAAAAGGGAATAAAAGAAATAATAGTACATTTTAATTTCCCTGCTTTGACCTGCATGAATAGTAGACACATTTTGCATGTTCTTTTCCCTCCCCACTTCCTATTTTGTTAAGGTAAACAGATTATTGTTTCTTTTTGTTCCATTTTGGATTTGCTTGACTTTAGTTATTAAAAATAATCGTCATGGCACAGCTGAGCCATGTCCTTCAACACTCTTGAGCTTCCTGGGTTTTCAAATAAAATCACAAATGAAAGAAAGCAGTATATTTCAGAAGGTTCTGGCACAGCTGTGAATAGCTACCATGAAGAAGTGGTGTTCTTTTTGCATTGATATGTTGGATGTAAAATCAATAATGAATTAAGAGATGAAGACTTGAGCATTTTGGTGGAATAGGTAAGATGTTATCATTTTGTTAAGCTTTGTGTAAATAACTCTTTAAAGCACAATCACTGCAAAGTGCCTGAAGAATGACCTAGTGACATATTTCCAGGAATGTCTTGCTTGGTAGTCCTGTTTTTAAATGGCAACCAAATGTCAATTCAGCATTACAGGTAAAGCACAGGAACTGACATGCTTAATACTTTATTATGTTAGATTTAGGCTATCTTTCTAGTTTGAAAGGAGACTATAAAATAGATCAAAATTGAAAAATGCAGTTTATTTTCTTGTCAAAATATGGATAATACTTATGACCTATGAGGAAATGGATTTCAATTCAGTCATCTAAATTCAGTCAGACACGATTGCAACACAATCTTACATGTAGTCTGCATGGGAACCGCATTATGCCGGTTTGAAGAGAGCTGCTCTCCTCCAATTTTGTTGTAAAAGAACTGAAAATTGGTCTATCTAAGTATAACTAGGAATGGAAAGCTTGTTTGTAAAAGCCTGGTTGAAAAGTAGGATAGTGGTTCAGCTGGAGTGTGTGAATGGGAGGGTCTTTTTCAGATTTGATAAGAACCTCTTTTGGCCACAGTCTGCTTTTCCTTAGGGACAACACTTAAGCTTCAGACTATTAGACATCTCTTAGTCATTAGTCCTGTTTTTGCTGTCTTCATAAGACCAAGAGTCATGATACTGGCAGAGAAATACGTTTCGTGTTGTTGGACACAAGTAAGCATGAAAGGATGTGAGAACAGGTATACGGATCCCATAAAAGGGGAGGAAAGGGAGGCTGCATGAGCATTTGATTACAAATCAAATTAATTGATTACGATGCTGTAGACAAAGTATTTCTGTTTCAATATTTTGCGTGCATCATATCTCATCCTTGCAATTGGAAATCTACCTCCCAGCCTGTGAGCTACAGGAACAGTTGCTAAAGCATGCATCGTAGTGGTAGGCTTGAGCCCCCAGTAGAGACCTAATTTTCACATGTGCTGTGTGCAGGGCAAGTGCATTCAGGCTGATGTGGTGTAGGGGAAGGGCTGCCAGGGTCTGGGCAAGAAGATGGTGGCAGCGAGCTGATGGCTGCCCATTGCAGTGCATCCCCGAGGACCATGGCCCATGAGGAGGGATCAGAGCAGACAATTGCCAATGATTTACAAACCATAGCTTCAGCTTCCAGAGGTAGAGATGGAGCTGGAAGTAACCACATAAGGAGAACGTGCCTTGATGGAAAAAGTACCTGAAGGTAGTCAGTGACATAATAAATTTTAAAGTTTTCAGAAAGTAATTAGATTTGCTGTGATTGAAGCGGAACCTGATCTGTAAATTGATGTGTATAATAATTGTCTTTCATAAGGAGTGTTGTGAAAAAACTTTGAGTCAGGTTCCTATTCCTCATCCAGTCTCTTAAATTTTAGCTAGTCTAACTTCAGGCCCAGGAAACTGGGGGATCTTTACATTTTTTAATGTGATCATATTTATTTAAAAATGTATTTTAAAATGGCTTTTGAAGCAGTCAGTTTTAACGATGGGAAAATGAATATTTTATGCAGATTTCTTGGCAAAATGGGTTTTCAGTTATCTGAAAGATACAACTACTTTGTACTGTTATCGTTAAATACTTGGCTGGAAAGCCTGTATTGTTGTTTTAACATTTGGTGTTCTGTCTTGGGAATGGGTGGTGCTTCTTAATCTGCTTCTACTTAAATCTTGGTGGAGAGGGTCATATTTTGTTATGAGGTAAGGTTTCAGATTATTTATTGGCACAGATCTTCCCAACTGAAAAAATATTTACTGATGAGAAGGCAGGATACTACTGGAGTATTAGCTTACTTTGTCTTCTGCCTATTGCCTAGTGCATTTGGGGTGGTTTGGCATGATGCTCATCATTCCTTCCTCTGTTCTGCCTGGTGGGACACAGCCTTGCTGTCCAGGGAGCACCAGCCAGTCAGCCGCCCTGCGGCGGCACGTTCCCCGTCGTGGATGTCTCCTCAACCTTCTGGCTGTGGCTGCCTGTAGCATCTGGTTCCTGTCCGAGGTGTCGTCTGTCGAGGGACTGTGTGGCGTGTTTGCTAGGGAGGTTGGATGTGATGATTTCATAGGTCTTTTCCATCACGAAGGCCTGTGATTTGTTTCTGATGTAGGAGATAAGCCTGCACATGCCTCCCAAGGCTTGCTGCTTGCTTTGGTGATTTACAGGCAGTCAAAAGAGTAGGTTACGGCAAGAGAGGGGGAAAAAGGAGGGGAAGCATGGGCACAACTTCTTGCGAGTGAAACCAAAACGCCGTGATGGAGACCACATAAAACTCTTCCAAGGACACCTCAAATTCTGTAAACAACAATTTTGCTTTCAGTAGGCTCACTCTTCCAGTCAAACAAGTTTATGGATTATTTTTTTTTAAATACTCAGAGGGGAGAACATATTATATAAAATGTTTGTGTTATATACTTTATTGACTCTCCAGGAACTTTTTCAGTAGTTGCACATAAAATACTTGCTTATAGCAAAAGACTTCCAGTTGTATCTGTGCCTTTTTTTTTCATTTACTTTCTTTGTGAAATAAGGAAAAGGAAATCCTGGCGGGGAATGTTCTGAGATCAGCGTGTCTTCAAACCGTAGGACAACTGTTCGTTGCCATGCGATACAACTTTTTTTTAATGGAGGAGGTGGAGCAGGGCAATGAGATGAAAGGTTCGGTTGGTTTTCTGATACATTTATGGGTATGTGCGACATTAGCCATCCAAACTGGTGTTAGCGCTGACTACAAAAATGATTGTGTTCAGCTGTTAAGAACATTTTTGAATATTATGATCAGTAGTCATAGAGATGAGTATTTGGCCAGGTCAGTTGTTTTTTGGCATTATAGTTATATTGGATCAATTCTGTCATAACTATGTTGGCTGAACGTTTGTCAAAATTATTGCTTGTTGCATACAGCTCTCAACTCGTTCATAGTTTCATGATGCTAAGTGGTGTGCAAAGCTCTTAGTCCTTGTCCCAGAGGCTTTGCGTGGCAAGACATACCTGATCTCTAATATGTGAATTATAACTGCTAGAATATGAATACTTTTTTTCTTAGAAATTCATGTAACTGAGAATAATCATTGTTTTTCTCTGCCTTGACTTTTGATGATGTTGACTTTTACAGCAGAGACTGCCTCCTTTTTCTGTGGAAAGCATGTCTTCAGCATAGTGTTCTTGGTACACAGGTCATTGCAGCATCTTTTTATCCAAATTTGCTTGCAGATTGCTCAGTATGATTTCACCTGATGCTGGTCAAGCATTATGACTTATGTGGCCTTCTAGGAGTGGCATGTAAGTTGATACTCGCACCAGACGGAGGAGTGTAAGTGATTTGGATAAGGCTGAATGACTGTTGAGGCTGTAGGTTTGCAGGCAATCTTAGGAGTGTTGCAGGACTTCTGACTGAAGCCTGAATCAGCTCATTACATTAGTAATTTGTCAAGCAATTAAATCCTCTCCCACACTTTTGGCTTTGTTTCTGCATGTGGATCTCTAAGGAGAGTTAGGCCATCCTTGTGTCCTCTGAGGAGAAGATGCAGCTTTTTTAGCTTTCTTCCTTTTCCGCCACAGTTATGCTCTTCCCTCCTGGAAGCCTTAACTGTGCCAAAAAACCTGCTATCTTGATAGGATTTGTAGCTGCTCTTTCTTGGCAAGAGTGTTGGGCAGGGTTGCGTCAGAGCACTTTTGGCCAAAAAAGAAGCTGGAACATACTTGTCAGTCACAAATCAATTCATAGAGAGGCTCGTTGAGTTTGTGACACTTGATATTATTTTATATTTTTCAAAATATTCCCAAAATCACTGTATCTCTGAAATAATTTTTTATTTTTACCTTCAAGCTTGAGGCAGTACTGTGTAGGTATTTTGCTTTTTTGGTGGATCTTTATACATCTGCCTCTGGTGCTGTCCCTTATCTCATGGTGATTCTGATAATTGGTACAGGGCCCTGCTTCAGAGGAGGGAGGAAAGGAAGACACTTAGGTCTTTGATTATGAGAATTTTTGTAGTAGCTGTTTTTGCTCCAACATTCCAACATCTGTCAGGTTGAACTAAATCAGAGACACTGATTAGCAAACATGATCTGAGAAGGAAAAAAAAAATAATTTTAATTGGTATTCTTCAAAGGCATTGATGTTTGCAGATCAGGTCATCTTGTATTCCCATCAGCTGCCTTGGTTTTCTACTGCCAGATAATCTGACTGTACTCTTTCTAGTGGCCTATTTACTGTCTTTCAACTCTTCTCTTTTTAAGTCTCTCCAAGTTATCTTGTTGGACAGGACTTCAGACAGTGACAGGGCTTTTTCTTTGAAAGTATGTAGTCCCCATTAAATAGTATTGGTGCCAACTGACCCCCCTTGCCTGATTTCACAGTTTTTACCTGACTTCTTTTGAAATGATATTGTTCTTAAATTTCACGTGGGGTAAGAATCAAGCCATCAATGTGGATAATTTTTTTTGTTGTCTGCAAATACTTTGCTCAAAAAACTATTGCTGTATAAGTCTGAATATTATAAGATGCATATTCAAGAATGTATTTCTAACATTAAATGCTTGTTTTGTTTCTTGGGGGGGGTGTTTTGGGCTGTCCTTAGCTTCATCACGCGGATGTGGTGGTAGTTGCCAGTACAAAACCCGATGACGTTCCTGTGAACGGGTGGATAAAGCCTGGAACCACTGTTATCAGTTGTTCTCATGACTTGCTGTCAGGTAAGAGGAGTTAAAAGCTAACAGTTCTTGAAAGTGAGGTATGGCGAGTCTTTGAGATAAGTGTGTGGCATGTTGGTGACAAGACAATGTGGTTAAAAGCTACATCTTCGGCAGGGGGCCTTTAAAAGTGTGTGTTTGTGTAGAGGGGATGTATATACATGTCTCTGATGTATAATTAGGAAAAAGATGTCAGGTGAGGGACGAAAGGCTGGAACAGGTTCTTTGTACCAGGATTGTTAAATAAGTGATGATCCTACAGATTCTGAGAACTCAGAGGGAAGACTTTTGCGTCATCAGATGAGCTGTTATTTAGTGCTGCTTTGTACAATGTGTTATCCTGTGACTTCTGTGGTCTTACCTGGAAGATGGGGAAAAGAGGGGCAGAAATAACAACTGCAAAGTGCTGTGAAGCTGTGTGCAGAGAATGCACAGGAGGGAGTAGAGAAATCATGGGGAGCTAGGAACAGGCAGAATGTCTCCTGCAGTAAGTACTCCTACAAACAGTTTGGATTTCCCTCCTTCCTCCTCCCCTGACTGGTTGGAGAGGTGGCATGTATTTATTAACTTCTCAGTTGAAAAATACTACAGAATTTTTCTGGGAATAAAACTAAGAAGCTTCCCAGAAGTTATTCTATTCAGCTGCTTGAATTGCATTTCCTGTAAAATTCCTTAAAGTCCTGATCTCTAGATATTTTCTAGATTTTTTTCATATGTATATGAATTTGACTGTTCAGTGTTCAGATGGGATTATGCTGTGAATTAATTAAAAAATAAGGAAGTACATGGGTAGTGTGGTTGGTCAGTGTGTTTTTCTAAATCTGTCACAAGTATGCTTGTTGGCATCTGTTGATACCAAACCGGGGAAATGAGCATGAGGCCAAGGAAAATTAATAGCATGGTTCTTAAACTAGGTATATTCTTTAAGGACAAATTAAGCAGACACACTGTGCAGAGCTAATGCAAGATCAGGCTCATAAGAAAGCAGCTGCTGTTCCCATGCAGCTTAGCATGGCCTTAGCAAGTGATTCCTTTCCTTGTCTTTTGTGATATCCTCTTGACTTGAACACACTCACTCAATGGTCTGAAGGCATTTAGGAATTCATCTTCCATGGTGCTCTGATCCCAGTGAGGATCTCAGGGGTGGGTACCAAGCCTTATCCCTTGCCCATGCTACACAAGTTGTCAAAAAATAATTCACGTTTTCTTTTTCCTAGCCTAGTGATTAGGAGACTCCTTGCATCTTTAATGCCCGCTTGTTTTGCGTAGGGTTTGTTGCATGTAATTGTTAAGTATCTGTGTTGCAAGGCTTGGAGTATAGGTCTCTTCAACAAGTACCTAATGTACCAGTATAATGTACTCTTATATGAAGGAGGAATGGGGGAGAAAGGGAAAGGGGCAGAGAGGAGACAGAATGGTGGTACAGCAGTAGCACATATAAATAAATAAATGAAAAAGAATGGCCCCTCCTTGTTTCAGTCCTTCTAAGCAGAAGCCTCCTAGGTGTTGGGCTCGGGGTAGAGGTGCAGGTCTCTGAAGGAAGGATGGGGGTAAGCCAGTGCCAATCCTTGCAGTCTGAGAGGGCACTGCTAATGACTGAACTCTCCCAGCTCTGTGTGCTGCCTGCTGCACGTCCTGCTTCCAGACACCTAATTCTCCCCTTCTGTTGCAGAGGAAGTCTGGGTCTTCAGAGACCTAAAAGTTATGCAGTATAACTGCATGCTATGTCTTGACATTTAAGTATCTTCATGCCTTAGTTGCTCTATAGAACTATATATAGTATTAGTGTTTCACTTCCCTAAAAGGTTACTGTTAAGAAAACTGAATTAAAACATTTGAGTGGTGTTCACGTACCACAGCAACATTCATTCTTAAGGCAAGAAATGTACTATTTGGCATAAGCATATAGATTTCTTTGCATTTTTCAAGTTGTAGCAGTGGGTTGTGCTAAGTACAGCATTTCTCTGGAAGGGCAGCATGAGATGGTTAGCAAGATAATTTAAATAGAACTTATCTACCAAATGTCCATCTGTCTTTATGGTTAGGCTTTTGAGATTGTCAGAATCTTGGAGAAACTCCGAAAGAATAGGAGAAATGCATTTCAGCAGCTTTAAAAAATGCTGGCCTCAAGACTTCCTAGAGAGGTACATGAAACACAGGTGTCTATTTGACAGGAAGAATGCACTTAGTTTAATCGGAAGATATTTATTAAAAGCCTATTGTGGAGCAGTCGTGACCTTGGAGAAACAACCGAGTCTTTCAACTGACTCTTTACTTTCAGTATGTGGTAGAATCTGGCTGAGGTGCTTGGAAATTGTTCTGGGTTTTTTCTTGCTTTAGAAATGTCCAACTTAACATCTGTTGGGCCACAGGAGCTAAATGAAGCCTGAAAGCAACAATGGCCGTGAAATAACTTTTATTCTTGCTAGATGATGCCTAGATTTCTGTCTTACATAGGTATACATGTAGTCTAACACACTCAGGTGTTTTAAAGGCACTCAAAATTTGCAAAGACATAGCTGAACTGGACAGCTGTAATGATGTAAGCCAGGAGAGTAGAGCTAGAAGTGCTTGCTCCAAACTAACGGAATTATTTTTCAAGTATTTTTAAAATCTGATCAAAGATTTAAAAATTATAACAATTTAAAAACGTTCTGCAATTTCTAGCAGTGCAACGTCTTATTCTGCTGCACTGATGATTTTGGAATCAAGTGCATACTGGTGGTGTCTTGTGGGGAAAATATATTTTAAAAGTATAGAAATCAAAATCAAGTTTCTGAACAAAACTTAAGGATGCCAAAATTATTTGGGATTTGATGTCCAACTCCCTTGGGGTCACTTGAGAGCTGAAGGTCCTATGGTTTAAGTACTTTAGTGGGAAATTCAACCATTTCCCCACGTCTTCTCTGTTCTAAGCTGCCTGAGCAGACAGGTAGTGCATGACAGCAACTCTCGCCCATCTGCACGATAGGGTACGAATAGATGGGCAGATGCACCTTCATTGGGGTGAGTCAGAGGAGGGAGCACAATGTCTGTGGTTCAGCTGATCTTCTGGCCATACTCCAAAGAAGAGAGTGCTATTCCAGCTCCCGTCTGGAAAATTTGTCCTAAGAGAGCTGTTGCAATCCTCTGATTGTCTTGCTAGCTCATGTGAGCATGACTTTCACCTCTAGCTTCACCTTCACCCCTGTAAAAGCCTGGTTAGTTATTTGTGGGGTGAGTGTGTAGCATAGGCAGCCTGAGAGAAGTAGTTTGTTGAGGGGAAACATCTAATTCTGACATGTATTTACACACACACTAGCTCTGCCCTGATAAAGAAGTTGTATTAAGCCAAATAACATAAAAAGTCGAAATGTTTCTGTAAAGCACAGCTGTCTGAAAAGGGATTTTAAACTTCATTCTTCCTACTTCATTTGTCTCTTTGGCAGCTCTCCCAGCCTGGTCTCAGAACAACAACAGTCAACTTATGACTGTGATAGGCTGTTCCAGTAAAACTCCTCTGAGTCTAAAACTGAGCATGTCCAGAAGATTTTTTTTTTAATGGCAAGTGTTAACACAAGTAGAAGGATGTTCAGACACTTTCTTAATTACAGTTTAATGTCGGGACTGTCACTTTCTGCTTGGTTAGCTTTGTCACTGATGTATAGGTGCCTGCTGGCAAGAAAGTTTAAGAAAGGATTAGAAAACATACTGAATGAGGCTGCGGGTGTCTGCAGAAAGGGTCTCTTGCTCTCTTGGTGATGGGTGTGAGAGAGTGGGCTGGAGCTGGGTGTGGTGTGATGGGATGCTGTGCTGGCTCCTCTGCCTGCCACTCTGGTTCCAGCCTGAGGTTTTGGTGACCTGCCACTGCCAGGACCCTTCTCCGAGGGGTAATTGTGCAAGGCAACATGAGCATTTTATGATCAGTACAGAAAGGATAAGTGCAGTGAGGGCTTGACCAGGTTAGGGTTTGCACTTGGGTTCCCCTGTGGGCAAAAGGCTAAAGCTGTCAGTGTAAAGTTGTTATTTTTTTTTACAGTTATGTCTGCACCCTTCAGAATGCGGCTGGGGCCTTGATATGCCCGCAGAGACTAGGATGTGAATTTTGGAGAAATTGTGTCTAGATAAAAGTCAATAAGCAACAACAGAAGAAGCCAAAAGAAGGATTACAGGAAAAGGACAAAATAATGTTTTATTTAGGGTAGCTAATGTATGATTATTATATATTGCCACTAGAAACAATTATGACTGTCTCTAAAGTTGGAGTCACTCTAAATTGTGTAGGCTCTTCAGAATATCTACTTTTAATGTCACGTTGATAAAGGTAACTTTTGCTGTGCAAAAAATCTTGTATATTCTGATTCCAAGTTACAAGTCCTGTTGGGTAATAATCCTGTATAGTGTTCTGTGATGGTTTCATTCTTCTCTTTTGCTGTAAGGGGTGTGTGGAAAAGAACAATCTTTGCTATGCTCATTTAGGTGTTCAGTTAGGGTTTTTTTTTTCTTTTGTCCAAAAGCAGTTGTTTGGATCCTGGAATTAATCTCTGTGACTCCTAATTTTCTTTTTCAAGTATGTATATGCTTCATCATATGCATGTGCATTTGCATAATGTGCTTCAGAGCATACAGTTGCTCTCTGGTTTTCACACTATATCCATCCTCCTGGGTAATTTCATTTGAAGTATTAAAGAAGCCACCTATAATTTAGTCAGTGACGTTGTTAAATTTCAAGTCAACATTCAGAAATTTTTGTTTGGATGTAGCTTTCAAATACACATGCTACCACTCACAAAAGCTTTGTGATTCATTAGTGCAATACTTCTGTTTTACAGAGAAACACAACTGTAGTCAGCAGAACAACCATGCTGCTGAAAACACTGTTGGCTCTCTTGCAATAGCAATGCGAATGCAGGTTAGTGTAACTTCAAACATTGTAAATTTGTTGCTCTTCCTGTAAATTGTAGAAATTGCTTCTATGGTTTAAATTTCATTTTTTGTTTTGCTCTTTTAAACATCTTACCTGTGTTCCATTTTAATAGCAACTCGTAGTCAGTTAGCTGGGGTGAGTCATGCCTGTCTAATGTTTAGTTAGAGAAAGGCAAATTAAAAATCAAACATTGCAATTCTGATGATTACAGTAAACCTTTCCAGAAGCACTTGTGTCAGTAGACTAATATTGCTTATTCTAGTAAGACAGTGAAGATTAATTATATCTGTGCACATTTTTGTGGTGTGATGGATAGAGGGTCCAAAAGTTTGGTGTTTTATGTGGAAGCAGCAGGAGTCAGTCAGTGAACAATTAATATCTTCCATTATTTTTAAGGTGTGAGAGAATAGAAATAATTCTCCATTTTACCACCATAAAATCTCCAAGTGCCTAATTAGAGACTTTTCTCTGCCACTTACATGTTAATGGCCTTGTCTCTTCCTGAAGTGTGGACAAGCCATAGGACAGTACTAATGCAGTGGTTGTTTTGAGTTTCATCCTGAAACCATAAAACAGGGAGATTACGTTTGTTTTTTGTCAGCCTTTGCAGTAAAAGTTATTTCAACATCCTTGTGAGATCATATGAAATTAATGTTCAGCATTTATGATGCAGCTGGTGTGCGGTGTTTTCTTGTTTAAAAACAGAACATGGTAAAAAACACGGAGCGATGGATCCAGTCCCAGCAGCACAAGAAGTGGGGCCTCCGCTGCTTGAAACTGCAGCCCCTTTCCCCAGTGCCCAGGTAATAAGTGGGTTTTTAAATTAAAAAAAAGAAAAGAAAAAAAAGAGTAAGCAAGTATTAAATGTGACAACGAAATGGTCCGTGCCCAATGATTTTTCAATCTGCTTATGTGGACTACATGTTGCGCCTTGTTGTTTTACGCCTCGTTGTGACCATATCCTTCCGTTTCCTATCAATTTTTACTTTTATGATGTGTGTTGGAGCCAAGCTTTATTTAATGAAGATCTAAAACTGGAAGGTTTCATTGAGGGAGGGATGTGAAGCCTTTTGTAGTGCCAACAGAAAAACAAAATACAAGAAGTTCCTAATCTCTAAACCCTAATGTAGGAAGGTGTTTATGGATGTAGTTAAGGGCCGGTGGTTTCAGTGGCATTTCACTTGTGTTTATTTTTTTCCCTCAGTAGAAGTACTTTCTTCTGCATTAGATTTTAAAATTCCTGTGTAGGTGTGAAAAGCAGGAAGCATATTTATTTTTGTAGCTAGAATCTTTTCAGTCGGTTCCTGTCATTCACTCCCAAGGCCCGTGAGCGAGCCACAGGGATTTGGGGTCTGCCTTGGCATGGTTGCTGGCATCTCTGACATTTAGAGCAGCCTGAGCCATTTGCTACACTAATGTGCTTTGCTGTTTGTTGGTTGTGTTGGGTGGTAGAGAGAGGAACCAACGACTTGAAGCAAGGTTTTGCCGTCTAAGAAGCTTTGAAATTTTGTGTGCTTATTTGCATGCATACTTCTGGGCTGCACAGATGATGAAGGGCCTGGAGAACCTCACGTAGGAGGAAGGTGGAGGGAGCTGGGACTGCTCAGCCTGCAGAAGAGAAGGCTCAGAGGGATCTTATCAATGTGTATAAAAACAAGGGTACAAGGAGGATGGAGCCAGGCTCTTCTCAATGGTGGCTCATTGACCAGAGTCAATGGGCACAAACTGAAACACGGGAGGCTTCATCTGAGCATCAGGCAACACTGTTTTACTGTGAGGGTGGCTGGCACAGGTTGCCCATTAAGGTTGTGGAGTGTCCATCCTTGGAGATATTCAAAAGCCACCTGGACGTGGTCCTGGGCAGCCTGCTGTAGGTGACCCTGCTTAGACAGGGAGGTTGGAGTAGATGACTTCCAGAGGTCCCTTCCAAACTCACCCACTCTAAGATTCTGTAATTCTGAATCCCACTGCTGTGTTTTTGGAAAGCTGTAACAAAATGTTTTATTTTCTAAGCACTTTGATTCAGTTTTCACTGTCACTTACAGAAGTTTAATGGGAATGGACACAATTGTAATTTAAAACAGAGATGCCAAAAGAATGAGTTTTCTTCTTCTTTACGCCCCTGGGTACAATAGAAATGCTTGAACTCTTCCTGGGCTAGCGTGTAACGTTTCTAGAATTAAAGCCTGAAAGATCTATCCTTAAATACTACAGTTAAAAGGTAGATTAAAGCATGTGGTGTCATGAGTATGATGGTGAAAAAATTGTCAAAAAAAGTATTCCCATCCCTCTCTATGACATTGTGTGTTTAGTACATAAATATTTACATAATTAATATATAATGGCATATAATATAACCAGTAATAGGACTTCCATTTATTTGATAACCCTATAGCTTTAAGTCTTTTTGTCTTTTAAATTTAAAATAACTCATCAGATGGAGAGTATCCTCCAATAAAATGTAATCTTACAGTAATACACCACATTGTGTGGAAGCAGATGGAGTTTTCATTGAAAACTAGGAAAAGCTGCTTAAGCACTAAAACTAGGAACATCTGCTTTTTGATTTCTGTGAGACCTAGGTGTTAATTGAAGTATTTCCAAAGATATTGGAAATTGAATGGAGGATTTTCTAACAAATATACAGTAGAAAAAAATTCCAGCACACAGGCTGAGTAGATGTAGAGCCTTCCGCCATCTTTTAAATTTTCCTGTGTTTTGTAAATTATGACTTACCATTGCCAATGGTGGACTTATGGTTAACAATTCTCATTCATGCAGAAGAACCACTGTTGCGCATTTCCAGCAATATTGAATAATGTAACTTATTGAATAATTCTAGTATTTCTAATATAGAGAATGCACTGCCAAACTAAAAGAGCTAGCTACAAATGTAGGCTTCTTAATGCTAGTTATAATAATTTTTTTTTTGTGTTTCAGAAAATATTTTTACCAGAAATAATAGACTAGACATAAACATTTTGTATGTGTTGTTTAGCCCCAGTCATAGTTAAGGTATAAATGTCAATTCATTGTGAAATTATGCCTTTTACCACTTTATTAAGTGTATCAGAGTGCAATTGGTCATTAAAGGGTTTCTAAGTCATTGAAAGTCTAGTTGCCTTGAGGGTTCTTAAGGGAACTTCAGATAGGAAAACATCAACAGCAATGGTATTACCAACGGAGAACTGTTAGCATCCACTGTCAATTTTACTTGACTTCTAAAAATATTTGTAATTTATTTATCTAGAAATCCTTTACCTTTTAATTTATTTATAAGTGTACAGCTTGGTCAGTTTTGTTTCTTCCACTTTTTGCCAGTAGTGGCACCTCCAGGGTGCGAAAAACTTCCCTGGTTCTTCCAGAACTGAGAGAGTGTGGTGTTTGTGGTGCAAGAGCTGAGGGAAATAGGAAAGGCTGAGACAGCTGCAGGGAGTCTTGATAGTCTCACCTGAGATTTGAAATAATGGCTTCTGTCTTTTAGTAAAGAGGCTGATATATTTAGTAAGAGGGGAAAAAAAAGACAGTTTAACTTTCTGTCATATTAGTCTGTATCCTTCTCCCCTTGCTGAATAAGTTAATTGCTTTAATAGGAGCATAGTCACCCTACAAATTTTCCTTGCTTAAATCTTTAAGGGACCGCATTGTCATCAACTTACTAATATTTTTCTGGGACTCAAACTGCTTTTTATATATAGAGTTCTGAATGAAAACTTTAAATATTCTTTGTCATGTGATGTTTGTAAGCCACTCCATCTTGTGTTCTTGATACATTTTTATGGATAGTTGTGTTTGAAGTAATGCATAAGAAAGCCAAAGCTATATCCTTCTATGCAAGAGGATGTACTTAGTATGTCTTTGAAAGAAAGCAGATTCCAGGTTAGTATATGCAACAAAATAGTCTGCAGCCCAACTGTTGTGTGCTGTGGACCTGTGGGATTGGATTATGTCAGTGTTTGGATGGGTGCTTTCTGGGTTTCACTTAGCTGCTGCTGGGTGTAAAAGTGGGATATTTGAGAAGTACCTTCAGAATTAGAATTGAATAATGGTCCCTGTTTAGGGTATCCTCAAAGAATTGCAAGCAATTAAGTTGGCACAAACTGATAATTTGCTGGTGGATGGAGAACAGACAAAGTCCACACATAGAGTTAAGATCTGGCAGTAGTTCTGTGTTCATCTGTGAGTATTTGAGGTCTTGCAGACTGTTTGAAAGTTCAGGACATCGCCTTTGATGCCATTGCCAGATTCTATCTTAAAAATATGGTAATCAACTGAAACTGCAGGAAGGAATTTAGCCTAGTTAGGCTGAAAGTAACTAATCTCTCGGTAATTTTTTAACTTGCTTTTGTGGTGATGTGAGCAGTTTGAAGCCAAAGGACATGACTCCTCACATCTTGTGTGCCAGGCCCTGGACTTCAATGCTGCAGGAACTTGCAGCTGCTAAATGCTTACGTGAACCCCAGGGGCAACTAGGTCAAGCTCAGAAATGAAAAATCCTTGAAGGAGTATTAAATCCAAAGACCCCAGGTGGTGCAGGTCAGGAACTGCAGATACAGTAGTGTCCCCTAGCCTAGAGCCACCTCCCCTCAGGCAGTTTGACCATGTGTGCTTGCTCCATGCTTGTTCTCTTTCCGCAGCTGCCACTTGAACTTGGAAAGAGTTTACAAGCTCACTGGACTTCTGACCTGAGCCCTGTGCATTAAACTCCTGCTATGTGGCTATCTTCAGTTCAGCTGTGTTTTAGAAGTGCATGAGTTGATCTTCAAATACCTTCTTTCCCTTGGTGCCCTCATGGGGGAGCATCAAGGCTTAGCTTGCTTGGTGGTACCCTCTGATGAAAGGTGCTACATGCACAAGCCTCAGGTTTAGCTAATGTGTTTATGGGACTGTTGGCCAAGGAATGTATGCGCTCTTTAGTAAAGTGTATGTGCTGAAATATACTGGGAGGGAGGAGGAGAAAAACAAGCAAAAAACCCATCCATTCCAGTGGGACATGCTTGAGCATCCAGCAGACACGTCTCTAGCTTGATATGAAAGCATTATGTAATATTTGGAATCTGATTAAACAGGACAACTCTGAATTTGTAACAATTAAAAAACACCACGCGTGATTTTCAATATTATATTAGGTGTTAGCTAATATTTAGTTTTGGTTAACAAAATGTGAGAGAGAATTGAAAAACCTATTACAATAAGCCCATTGTTGGAGTATTTACTGTTGTTTTGTGCTCTGTCATCGACCACCTAAGCTGAGAGAAATCTCCTGGCTCCTATTTGTTTTCTTTTCCAGTGATATTGAGATTTCCCGAGCACAGAGTCCAAAAGCTGTTGATGTACTTGCCAAGGAGATAGGATTGCTTACAGATGAAATTGAGATCTATGGCCAAACCAAAGCCAAAGTACGTTTGTCCCTGCTGGAAAGGTTAAAGGATCAACCAGATGGAAAATATGTTCTCGTTGCTGGGTAAGAATGCACAGTAATGTCATTAATGTCCACCCTTTCCACTCATATTAATATAAACATGCAGCTTACATCTTTTTAGTACACTGCACAAATAAGAATCCTGAATGTTTTCGTCTGTGTGTTGCTCTCTGCTGAAAAGTGAGCAGTTTTTCAGTTTTTTTGAAGTCACACAACTTGTCTTCCAAGCTGTTATTACTGAAGTAAAGTATATTTTATAAAAGGTACTTTGTTCCAGGCTTCTTAAATGTTATCTGTTGGTGTGTGGAGTTTTTCTTACTGTTTTATCAGAATTTTAAATGTTTAACTTGAATATTTAAGTCTGCATGTATTGTGGCTGTTTATAAACAAACTTTAACAGAAGCTACATGGTAATCTGCTGATATTAACAATAAATACTTTTTTTATTGAAGAACAGATTACAAAGTTTAAAAAGCCATGTTTTTTCTCTGAAATGTAGACATGTCTCCAGGCAGGCTTATCCTGTTCTCTGTTCCCACGATTATAGCAAATGCTGTGGTCA